TTAAAAACTGAAATAAAAGTTCATCAAACTTAAATACAAACTTTAAGTCCAAAGAAAACTCTGTATAATAAAATATATACAACTCGCCATAAAAAGGCAACTTTAGTCTTTAAAACATTTAATAAAATAAATGATACAGACTTCTCAACTATACTGACTATCTATGAAGCCTCTAACTGATAAAGATGGAAGTCGGGACAAGACCCACGACATCCTAACAACTAATATAACTGAAAGGTAAATGAAATCCTCTGAAAGTAAGGAGGCTCACCATAGCTAACTCGAACTCTCGGATGTTTCAACGAAGCTCCTGTTGATGATCCTGAATACCTGTGTCTGCATCATGAGAAGATGCAGGCCAAATGGCTCAGTACGTAGAATGTACGAGCATGTAAGGGGAATTCTAAAACATAAACATAAGCTTGAAACTTGATAAAAAGGAAACATATTTGCCTCTTTTCAAACTTACTCAACTCAAGGAATACTCCAAACTACTCAAACTTACTCAACTCAGAAGTACTCAAGGATAAGATACTAAACTCAGAGATTAGATACTCAACTCAAGGATATGATATTCGACTCAAAGATATGATATTCGACTCTGGATACTCAACTCAATATGACTGAACTCATTTCAATATAAAGCAATTTAAAACAAGTGTAATATAAAGAAACAAACTATTTAAAAACATGCTCTGAAATCTGTGTGTATGCAAGGATACAACATAACTCTGAAATGTATATAAAAATACAATAAACTGATGTATATAAAAATACAATAACTTCTGTGGGAGTTTCTCTAACCGACAACCATCACATAAGAGCTATAGTGATGATACAACGATCTACCTCACGCTGCCAGCGCATCCTATACCCGGCCAAAGGTATAGGACCTGAACTACTAATGGATCCACTAGTCTATGTGAAAAGGGTTCATCTAAAAAGTATGACTCTTTTCTACCTATGATGGCTACATGGTTTATGGGGGCTGTGAGTTGTGTGAACTCTCCCCCATATCGGTGCTCAATACTACTCCCAAAAATATACTAGCTCTTATGTTTTAAAAACATACTTCTTTCTGTTGATTTGAGATAATTGCTCAAAAACTTAGCTCAAAGGCTATCTTGGAAATCTCAATTTCCTTACTTGCTTCATTTAGAAAGCTATTACTCTTTTCTGAAAACTAGCCCGAAGGCCCTTTGGAAATCTCAGTTTCCGTTCTTATTTAAATGTGAAAACATTTATAAACTCTTTGGGAATACTTAGTCCCCATATACTTTTGAAGAAAAGGACTTCAAACTTTACTATTTACTCTTTACTAAACTCAAAACTTAAGTCTTAAAACAAAGTTAAAACGTTTGTAAAAGACTTCTTAAAATGTGGTTCGTGTCGAATGATGGACATGAACGACTCAATGCAAGGTTTTCAATAACCACAGATAGAACTCAAATACTTAGAACTCAAGAACTTCAATAATACTACTCATTTCAAGAATGCTCAACTCAGAGGGTTCATGCGGAATTATGACCATGAACGACTCAACTCAAGGACTCAAAGATACTTCTCTTCTCAAGACTGCTCGACTTATAGGATTCATGCGGAATTATGGGCATGAACAATTCAACTCAAAGACTTTATGAGTAACATGTAATAGTCCCATGCTTAGAAATATAATCTCAAAGGGGATTAGGAACTCAATACTCAAGACTTAGAACTTGAAGATACTACTCCTCTCAAAGATACTCAACTTCTGGAGTTCATGCGGAATTTATGGGCATGAACGACTTGACTCGTAAGTCTACATAACATTATGAAACTCATGTATGTGTCTCTTCTCATTCTCTGACTTACTTCCTCAAAACTTAGTTCAAATCGATAGTTGATCTCAAAGGATTCACAATTGAACTCAAAGGCTTTCTTGAACTCTACTCTTAACTCTCTCTTGAATTTGAATTATGAATTCAAGAGTTATGATTCATGATATGAAGGATCTCAATAACAATATAGATATTCGATAATTAGGAATAGAACTTTTAAAAGAAACATGAATTCAAGAACTCAAAATCAACTTATCTCAAGAATACTCAAATCTAGGGAAAGTATCCTAGATTACTCTTTTTCTGATCTGAAAGTAGATGTAGGGCGTGAGGACGAACTAGTCCAACACTATGATAGCCTTACATACCTAGAAGAACAAGATTCTTGAAGAATCTTTAAGAATCTTAAAGAATCTTGAAGAAGAACTTGATTAGAAGCCTTGAAACCCTAGCTTGAAGGTAAACAATCAAGAAGACCTTTCTTGAGATTCTCGAGTTAGTTTCTTAAAATCTCTATAGCCAAAAATTATGATTTTCATGAGTGAAGATGAAAATCTGATTGTTTTGAGCTTTTTAATTAGTCAAGAAATTCGTTGATGGTTTTCTTGGAGGTAAAAAGACAAAAACGATTATTTTCAATATTTTCCCGTCGGCAAATTCGTAACAGCACTGTATAGGTTACTAAAATAGTCATAACTTTTTACTCAGATATTGGATTGATGTGAAACTGGTGGGGTTGGAAAGTAGATTCAATTACCTTTAATTGGATAGGTTATGGCTCACGTAACTCTTAATATTCTAAGAGATATGGTCGTTTAAAGTTGACCTAAGCAGAATCTTACTTCAAAACTTAATAAACTTCAAGAACACTTATCAAGAACTCATCAAGAACTTAAATCCATAAATTTCAAGAACGAAATTACGCTGAATAAATCATGATTGGCGTGTGGGTGAAAGAACCCAACACTATGGAAGCTTACATACCTCTTAGGGATTAAACCCATGGCGAAAATCCGCAACAAGATGCAAGAATCTCGACGAATGCTTTCATCCTTTCTCTTTTCTCCTCTTTTCTCTTCTTCTTGAACTCTCAACTAAAACCCTAGGTGTATTTTAGAATTATAAAACTGAACCTAATCAGATTAGACCCCTAAAATATTACTAAAAATGAATTAAATCTGATTGGGTAAGGAAAAGACCAAAATACCCCTTTCTATTTTCGGCTAACCTTCCTTAACTGGTCAGCCTATCTTCAAAAGGACATATCTCACTCATCCGACCTCGAAACTTAGCAAACTCAGCGGCGTTGGAAAGATAATTCAAAGATCTTCGCTACGGTATCTTGTAGTACACCTAACTCATCCTGAGCTAGGATTTATGGTTGTTTGAAGTCGACCCAAAACTCATACTTAAGCATAACTTGCAAAATTTCAGATTTTGCTATTTCCAATTTAGTTCTTTTTCGAACTCAAGGTGCTACATCTAGTGAACTTAACACTTAAAGAAATTTTAATTCCTCGGTAAAATCCTACTCACAACGAAGGATGGTTCAAGTCTTAATTCAAAAAAATTTCTGGGGTGTTACAAATAGATAACTCAACCAAACTAAAATGTTCTGCCAATGTGAAAGTGAAGACGTTCTACTATCTAATAATCATATATCCTAATTATGTTTTTGGTTGTGACACTTCGATTCCTTTTTTATCTACCCTATTCTCTCCTTAAATCTATTAATTACAGTCAACCTTTCATACCTTTTTTATTTGATCAATTTATGTTTTTTCTCTTCACATGTCCAAACCACCTCAATCTCATTTTTCACATATTTTCATTACGATGGCTACTTTCATCTTACCCCTGCATATCTTTGTTCCAATAGTTTTTATTTTAATATGCTTGCACATCCATCTAAGCTTTCTCATTTCTGGTACCTTCATCTTCCGAACATGCGAGTTTTTGCTTAGTTGACAATCTATTTTGAACAACAAATTAAGCCGACCCAACAACCTCTCTATATAATTATTTTTAATTCTCAACTATATGTTTTTGTGACATAGAACACGGGGTTCAAGCCTCTATTTTGTACATTCCATTCCAATACATTGTACGACATACTCATGATATCCCTCCATTTTCTTAAATTGTCGACCATATACTTAAAACTCTCTCTTTTAAAGATGACTTGTGTATCAAAAATAACTTCTTCACCCAGCCTTCCGTGATGCAACAATGAATTCGTACTTATGTAGTATGCTTTAGTCCTACTCAACCTAAAATATTTAAACTCTAGTTACTCTTTTATTAGCTTATCAATTTTTTTTGTGGTACAATTAACAAACATGTTATTTTCTCCATTTTGTCTTACTTTTCTTTTTAATCTATTTTAATAAATTCATCTTTTTTTCCTTTTGACAATTCTTTAATTTCAATTTTTCATATGTCATATTTTTAAATACAAAATTAAAGAACATTTTGATACTTCTTACATAACTTTAGTCTAAAACTACAGATTTTTTTTATTTTTTTTTTGAATTTATACTAAGAGTGTGTTTGGATTGACTTAAAAGTTGGTCAAACTTACTTTTAAGTCAATTTTTTACTTTTGAAAGTGTTTGACAAATATAAAAAGTAACTTAAAATAAGTTAGGAAGTGTTTGACAAAGTAAAAAATGACTTAAAAATAAGTTAGAAATCAAAAATAAGTCTCCCATACTTTTTATTTTTTGATTTAAAAGTTATTTCTGTTTGACTTTTATTTTAGAAGTAAAATTTAATTTTTTAAGTTAATTCAAATGGGTTCTAAATTAAAATGAAGAGAATATTTTGCATTGATCAAGATAAGTATCTAGAGAAAAAAACACTTTTACGAAAAAGACCGGTAATAAGAAATTTCTTTCTTTTGCATCAAGACAAATTACAAAGTTGAAAAAAAAGCAAAAAGTAGAAAAAGAAACTTGTGGGCTCATAAAAAATATCTTTAAAATTTCCACATACCGTATTACAATAAAAATATCCCAGGGCCGCCGCATCCTTCGTTTCCTCTTATACGATCGCCAATCTGATCAAAATCACACACAAAACACAATTAATCAACGGCCAGGATTCGTCTGTTACGAATCCAATCATCACCGGCAAGTAACATTATGTCTCTTTTTACAGAAAAAGTAATAAAAAATATCTCATCCTTATCCATTCCCAATTCCTTCTGACTTCTTCTTCTCTATTTATAAATATAAATTTTCATCATTTTGATGATTTGTTATCTGGGTTTTTACAGAAACGATGATGTTACAATCAATGGCTCTCAATTCCTTATCTTCTTCTTCTTCTCTTGTTGGAGTTAATAATGAGCTTCATTCTTCAAGAACCTCATCTTCAAGATTTCAAGTAAATTCGTCGACAATTCGTTGTTGTTCAAGAAGTCATGCTTACATACCCAAGCTCGAGCCTTTTAGCAGAACCAAGTTTGATAGAGTTGTTAAAGACCCCCCTTTGATTGAAAAATCAGAAAATGAACTTGCGGGTATGTCCAGATCTTCTTTATTTGTTCGTCTATTTTCTTGATTGTTACGTTTCCTTAGTTTGTTTATAAGTTGTTTTCTTGGATTTAGCATCAGACATGAATTCAAGATTTGAAGTTTATGGGTTATTGATCCGTCTCTGATTTGAAGATTTGAAATTTTCGCCATTCTTGAAGGAGAAAAGAATGTCCTTTTACAAGAAAATAGCGTGTTAGTACTAATTTTAAAAAACTAGCTTTGCATGGAACTATAATTGGGGTTAAATACAACAATTATGTACGCAGCCGTACCCCTATTTGTGAAGATAGCGAGGCTGTTTCCGATGGTTTTTATATGTTTAAAGAATTATTAAATATGGTTAATTAATTAAATCTTTGATTTATTCTAGTTTTTGTAGTTGTTAAATGACTTGAATCCATGTACATATTAACACCCAAAAATTGGAATGCAGGGAATATCTACTAATTGAACTTGATTTCTTGTTGTCTAAAGTATTAGCTCTATCTGCTTGTTGAAATACTAACGGACTCTGTGTATGGTTATGTACAGATTATTGTTCTGTTCTAGACGGAGATGATTCTTATAGCTGCTGGCAAGCCTATTTTGAACTCAAAGATCTTGAAGTAAGTTCTTTATCAGCACACAATCATAGGTTCTTCAAATAAAATTCTGCAACAATCTTATTTGCCTGCGACATGCTATTGTATTTATTATGTGTTGTTAGATAATAGGTTTTCCACTTGTGAGCTTACACTGGATATGTTGTTGTAGGGTATGTTGTTGTCAACAAATTAGTTAACCCCCCCTGTCCAGAGAATGGGCTATTGGGGTAAAATTTGCATTAGTTGTCAACTTAAACCGATGGTGTAAAATATTTAGATGTTATTAGTACACAAAACTTAAAATTCGAGGTTCAATATTTCCTTGGAACTATGAGGTAAAAGTTGATGAAAAAGAGCTAACAAAAATGTGTTTTCAGTGTGTGTGTATATATTACGACCACATAAAGTAAGCTAACAATTCCATCTGAATTGTATTCTTAAGTTAGAAATGTCAATAATACTAGGTGATGTCTTCTTGTCTACCCAAGTCTAGGTGGACATAGTTACTTGGCAGCTGCGCTGAGGAATTACAAATTGACCTGGACATCACAGTTATTAAAGAAAAAGTTCATCAAGCCAATTACTTGTTGATTTTTTGTAAATCCAGTTTAAGTGATCTATTGTCCAAATATTGTAATGATCTTAAGCTATGTTAAGCGTAGCACCTTCCTACTCTGTTATTGAAAGAGATTTTGATGTTCTTTCCAGAAAGAAGCATCTAAGGAGGAGGTAGAGAGGCTAATACTTCAAGCAGGGGGAGTAAAAACTCTCATTGGCTGCTTACATGGAGTTTCAGACATGCATAAAGCCAAAAAGGAAAGCAAAGAATCAGCCAAAGCTGTTAATCTTGATGCACAACGGGCAAGAGGAACTTGTCCTATACCAGATGGATTGCCAAAGTCGAGAGAAGAGCTTGAGGAAGAGGAGAAAGCTAGAATGCCAGATTCACCCTATACCAAACTGCTCAGAGCCAAAGGAACACACCCTGTGTGGTACTAGACTAGTTTCATAAAAAGAACGCTCCTTTGGAGCTTCAGATAATAAGGTCAAGCAATGGAATTGAATAGTATTCTGGGCCAATGTGGTAAAAATTATCTGGTGATGTAATGTTAAGCCTGTGGGGATGTTATCACGTATTTTTGTTAGTGTTAGCATAAAATAGTGTGCTGTATCGGTAGGTTAGGAGTTACCATTTGTTCTGAATGTAAATATGGTTTGTTTTTGAAAATTATAACAGCAGTGAAGTTTCTAAATACCCTTGTGAACTTTTCTGGATGGTGTCAAACTGATGCCCCTTTCTTTCAGTTTTCTTCAAGTATACACACAAAATACCTCACTTTAAAAGAGTTTGGTGCACGAAGCATCTTGCATTCATGTAGAGTTTGGTAAAGTACCTCACTCGGAGGGATGTGATGTGTATGCAGTTATGTAAATATCAGTGGTGACTGACTTCCTCCAAATTCCTATTTTTCTAGTTAATAAGTTGCAATTAAGGCCATAATTTTTATTAATAGCATAAGCCTATTTTTGTTTGAAAATTCAATTAGTTTAGGGGTTACATAAGTCTAGTTTTTGGAAGTGATCTGTATTTGAAATCAGTTTCGTGCGAACTGCTGCGAAGTATCTTTATGTTTACTTTGATTACTTTCCTAACGTGAATACATCCACTTTCCACTGTCATTTGCATCAGCCTCTGCCTAACTATTTCACAAAAGCCATTAAACTGTGAATTTAAGAATAAACAAGAGTAAGACACTTTGAAAGTCTCGAACTTTAATGGAAAAATCAACCAATTATTTACTAGCATAAAGAAAATAAAACATGTTTATGAAATAATGTCCATTTGTTTTAGACGGTAAATGAACTTATGTAATTGGTGATTTTCCATTCTAATAGGTAAAGGATGGATCAAGAATAACTCTGTTCACTCATTTTTTTAATTCCAAGAAACTCAACAAACCGCTAAAATTTGTTTCAAGTTTATTTTGACCCTCCAAATTCTATGGTGCTCAAAATTCATGATAGCTTATCAACCATTAAATTTCCTTCCTTTGCCTACATATATAATACCCCCCATTTTGCTTTGAAGAATATATTACAATAAGCAGCCTTGGGCCTTACCCACAGGTGGACTTACAAACATGGTGGCCTTGGGTTGCTTTCTCTTTTTCCTTGTATCTTTCTCTTCTTTTTCTCCATCATATTTTGCATTATCTGATATTGAAGCTGCTTCTATTGCCCGTCGCCAACTTTTAGGTAACAATGGCGAGCTTCCAAATACATACGAGTCTGAAATGACCATTAACATGAAATTCGAAAATGCCAGGTTGAAGAAAGCTTATGTTGCTCTTCAGGCATGGAAGAAAGCTATTTACTCTGATCCAACAAACTTCACAGCTAATTGGGAGGGTAATAATGTATGTGCCTATAATGGTGTCTTTTGTGACAATGCTCTTGATGATCCCAACATCTCTGTTGTTGCTGGGATTGATCTTAACCATGCAGACATAGCTGGACATCTCCCTGTGGAGCTTGGCCTCTTGGCTGATGTGAGTCTCATCCACATTAATTCTAACCGATTTTGTGGAATCATTCCCAAGAGCATTAAAAATCTTACGCTTTTGGATGAGATTGATTTCAGCAACAATCGTTTCGTGGGGCCATTCCCTGATGTTGTTCTTGAGTTGCCTAAACTCAACTATCTTGATCTTAGGTTCAACAACTTTGAAGGTCAAGTGCCTTCCGCGCTATTTGAGAAGAATCTTGATGCAATATTGATCAACAATAACCGATTCCATTCCACCATCCCTGAAAGCTTGGGCAATTCCAATGCTTCCGTGGTGGTATTGGCAAATAACAAGTTCTATGGTTGCATCCCGAGCAGTATTGGTAAAATGGGCAACTCATTAGATGAGCTTGTATTCACCAACAATGAGCTCTCTGGTTGTTTGCCTGAAGAGATTACTAAGCTCACGAGCCTAACACTGTTCGATATTAGTGGAAATAAGTTTGTTGGATCGTTACCTCAGGATTTGAAATCGATGCAGAAAGTGGAAATCATTGACATTGCATCGAACAAGTTCATGGGAAATGTTCCAAAGAACCTTTGCACGTTGCCTAGTTTGACGAATTTCACATTCTCTAAGAACTACTTTGAGAGCATGGATGAAACATGTACGCCATCACAGTCGAAACAAGTTAAGATAGATGGTAATGAGAATTGTTTGGGGAGAAGATCAGAGCAGAGGACGGAGAAAGAGTGTTTCCCAGTAGTGAGCAAGCCTGTTGATTGCAGTAAAGGTCATTGCGGAGTTTCAAGGGAAGGGCAGAGTCCAAAAGATCCACCTAAAACCCTGACTCCTTCAAAACCAGCAACACCAACCACTCCAAAACCAAAGCCATCTCCACTACCACCAGTAGCCTCACCTCCTCCACCACCAAAAACCTTACCTCCACCACCACCAGTGGCCTCACCTCCACCTCCCATCCACTCACCACCACCTCCAGTCCATTCACCACCGCCACCGGTAGCATCACCTCCACCTCCAGTCCACTCACCACCACCACCAGTCCAATCACCTCCACCTCCAGTCCACTCACCACCACCACCGGTAGCATCACCTCCCCCACCAGTCCACTCACCACCACCACCGGTTGCCTCACCTCCACCTCCCATCCACTCACCACCACCACCGGTAGCATCACCTCCGCCACCAGTCCACTCACCACCACCACCGGTTGCCTCACCTCCACCTCCCGTTCACTCACCACCACCACCGGTAGCATCACCTCCACCTCCAGTCCACTCACCACCGCCACCTGTAGCTTCACCTCCACCGCCAGTCCACTCACCACCACCACCACCAGCTCCGGTAATGTCTCCACCTCCACCCACTTTTGAGGATGTCGCTCTTCCCCCAACATTGGGCTCGCTATACGCCTCACCACCACCACCAATTTTCCAAGGTTATTAAGAGGTTCGCCATTATGATTTCAATGGCACAAAAACTACTTAAAACAATGTGTACCAATCAATCTGTAAACACATATCAAATGAAAAAATAAACATTTACATTATCAATTGTACACTGAAAATTGGAAATTTGCTATTAGATGGTGCTGATCGAATAAATCATTCTGCAGTTTCAACTTATTTCAGTATTTAAATCCTATCAATTATCTTCATTGAAAATGAGGCTGAATCACTGATGTAACAGCTGCATCACATTTCATTTGTTGGTAACAAACTTGCGCTAAAAACCTTGTAGGACCGCTTTATCCTTTTTGTATTGTGTTTATTTTAAAAAAATGGAAAAAAGTCAAAAATATCCTTAAACTATTCGAAATAGCTTATATTTAGCCTTAAACTATATTTCAGCTCAAAACTATCTTTTCCGTCAAATTATTGGGTCAAAAGTACCCTTCTTATTAACGAAAGTTGTTAAATGCCATGTGGATGCCACATTGCATGTTAATACTAATTACTTTTTTTTTTCCACTGCCACATAGATTAAATCCCTAAATCCTAATTACTCTTTTTTCCCCCTCATTTCATTATTTTCCAGGAACGATTTCAACCCTTCTCCCTCATTGAAGTTTTGTTTTTGTCCAGATTTTGTGATGTTTATTTTCAGTTTTTACTTAATGTTTGGTAATGCATTTCTTCATTAGTTCTTTACTTAGTTTATGTCCAGCTTTTGTGAAGTTTATTTCCAATTTCTCTATTTCTTCATTAGTTCTTTACTTAGTTTATTTCCAGCTATCGACCAACTCTGCTGGTTTTTAACAAACAACAAGCTAGTGGGGGGTTTTGTATGTGGAGTAGTGTACTTTGTGCTCAACATGTTTTGTATGAAGTTCAAATATTTGCTTCCACTGTTAATGTTCCTCATTTTGTAAATTAATTTATCAAGTTACGATTGTTGGTGTTCTATTGCTGAATACTTTTTGGTTAGCAGTGATAAAGTTTACTCGTTCAATAACATACTTCAATGAGGGAGAAGGGCTGAAGTTGTTTCTGAAAAATAATGAAATGAGGGGAAAAAAAGAGTAATTAGGATTTAGGGATTTAGTCTATGTGGCAGTGGAAAAAAAAGTAATTAGTATTGGCATGCAATGTGACATCCACATGGTATTTAACAACTTCCGTTAATAAGAAGGGTACTTTTGACCCAATAATTTGACGGGAAGGGTAGTTTTGAGCTGAAAAATAGTTTAAGGGTAAATATGAGCTATTTCGAATAGTTTAAGAATATTTTTTACCCTTTTTCGAAAAAAATAATCACGATCTCATATGTTCAAATTTCGCCAAAGACAATCACGGTAAGTTGATCTCTTTTGTTTGACGGATAAAGTTATCTCGTATTTGTTATTGATATGAATGATCAAATATTGTGAAATTAGTTGGAGTGTGCACCAACTGTTATCAATTTTTTTTAAATTTTTTTTGTCAAAACAAAAAGCACCTGACAGTGGTAACCTAATTTTTTGTGAGCCCAAATACAACGCCGGGTCGGGTCAGCAGTGCAGTGCAATGGTATTTTACGACATCGCACCGCACTCATTTCGCCGTAAGAAGCACGTTTGAACTTTCACAACTAGATCGCGAAGATTATCAATTTGGTTATTCCTCTCAGCAATTTCCGGCGGTGAAAATCAATAGCTACATCGACGCTACGATCTTCTCAGATGGTGGACGACACGACGAAGCCTTCGACTGAAGGGATTGTTGAAAAGCAAGAAGAAGCTCAGCCACCTCCGGTACCAGAAGTCGCCGGCGGTGGTGGAGGATGGGGAGGATGGGGATTTTCTGCGTTTTCTTATATCTCGGACATTCAGAAAGCTGCTACCACCGCTGCCGAAGAGATCTCTCGCAATGTACTCATCTTTCCTAGCATTTGAACTCCAAAATTTTCCTTTATTTGTTGCATTTTGTTATGTAGCTGTTTTTATCTCGTTGATCTTGCTGTTTAGATTTACTTCGTTTTGACAGAATATATTAGCGTCGTTTCAAATGTAAGAAATTTGTTATATTTCTTTTGGGTACTAATGAGATGTGACAATGTTAGGCGCAACTTCACAAGTTATGTGAATGAGCTATGAGTAATTTCATCTTCAAAATTCTGGAAAAAAACAGTTTCTACTAGCTCTACGATCTGATATAGGAATTAGACAGCTAGTGTGTTTAGAACTCCCCCTTTCAGTAATTTGGTACATATCACAAGTTTTGCAATGCCTCAACTGAAAGATGCCTAA